GACAGGTGCCATTAGCAGCGTCCACGCACGGCATGCATGTGGTAAGCGTGGCAGCCCCAGGCAGGCACAGGTTACATTGGCGAACTGGTCGCGTCCTCCCACTCCGCGCCGTGCCCAGGGGCCAAGCGCACGAGAAGACCCACGTCTCGGCGGGATCGCCGCGGGACCGGCTGCGCGCCAGCCCGCCATTCCTGGTGCCCGAAAGGATGGGAAGATCGAGCGATGATTTGTTTCCTACTGCTCAACGCTGGCGTGCACTGCGCAGCGTGCTGCTAGCACGGCCATCTGTGGGGCCTCTAGGCAAGCGGCCGAGGAGGTGGGGAAGCGCTGCTGCAGACCCGTTTCTGGCAAGATCGTTGCGTGCACGGTTTAGCACAGGCGGGAGAGACGGGTTTGCAGCAACGGTTTCGCCCAGCTGGTTAAGATTGGTACTCCTCCCTCAAAGTTTGCCTGAAAATCTCATGGAGGATCCGGAGGTGAAGTGGATAGAATTTGAAGCGACCAGCCCAAGATTCGATTATTCTCGCTGCGCGCTGGCTGTACTCCATGCAAGCCTCGTTTGCCCTCCTACGCAGGCGCAGTGCCCAGCGTAAGAATTTGTATTCCTAGCGGTTCGCTGCAAGCAATAACGAAGATGTGGCATGACACGAGTTTGACCATAGGCAATCGAAGCTGAAGATCCCAGGCACCAAGCACGAAACTTGATTGCCGCCGCTCCCAGGCTCAAGAAATCTGCCGAACGAGCCCAACAGCATGCGTCCCCCTTCTGCTGCCGACGCTCGAAGCAACACGTGCTCGAGCCCTGATGGTCCAGAATTCCCAGCACCTCCATGTTGTCAACAAGCTTGGTCGTCATAGTGGCGCCGCTGGGAATGATCAAGTCAACGTCTCCAATGTCGCCTGCGCCAGAGTCGCCCCGCCTGAATTGGAGCGAGCTCTCCTCCCATGACAAAGGAAGTGTGTGCAGAAGATGCGTCAACTCCTGACACATGGTTCTCACCTGGTCCACGGACGCTGCCACTATCAACACGTCTTCCGCCCAGATCATACGCGTCAGCCGTTGCCCAGTGCCAGAATCGAACCCGAAGCGTCTGGAGGACCAGCTACGCATAAATCTTCCACGGCGGCCTCAACAGGTACGTTCCAAACGCAGGGAATGTCTTTGCCGACGTGCGTGCCCCCATTGGGGCCGAGAGCATCCTTTTTGTGGAGCCAGCCGCAGGCACCGACAGGGGAAAGCTGAAAGCCCGGAGGCTTCCCACCTCCAGCAGCAGGCGAGTTCCGCAGGAGCTGCCGCTCTGGCCAGCAGGGCGCCCATCACCGCGGGATCGATAGGGTCGAGCGCCGCTGCCACATCCAAAGTGGCCACGGCCGCTGACAGGTTCTAACGGTGGGCTAGAAATAAAAGTTGGCGCAGCACGCACACGATGTCGATACAGTGGAGGCCCGCTGTGGATCTGCAGCTGCAGACATGACGAGAGGCAGGGATCGTCGGCCGAGTGCAGTGGATGAGGCTGGTCACATACCGCGTCCAAAAGCAATGGAGGCTGGATGTCCACCGGTATTTGTCGTAATGGACAGCCTGTGTCTCTTTAGGAATGCCGGCGTAATCAACATGTTTCTTTTCTGGAGGGTCTTCTGAATCAATGCGTGGTTGCTTGTCCAGGAAACGACGCTACACATGAATGCAGACGTAAAAAGGGAGCGCCGCGTATACATCTGGGGGGCACCCGTTCATCTTAGGTGCCTTATTCGCCTTCGTTCTGGCGCGCCCTCGCAACACATCATGAACTGAGATCCTCATATGGGATATTGCCATCAAGTATGCAGTTTCGAAAAATACCAGACAAGACAGCCCAAGCGGTGTTTTTGGACCTCTGCGGTTGTTCGCCGGATTTTGAGAACGACCTTTACCCAAGAGTTCGGTTTCCCGCAACCATGCCGAACGGTCATGCGTGAGCTCGCCACCGATTTCCATGTGTATGGGAAGGCGACGTCGGGCGGGGGCTCTGCGGACACTCGCTCATCGCACACTGCTCCTCTCTTTCCGACGTCGGCGCAGAAATCGTCGAAGGCGTTGTATTGCAGACCTGTATTCTGACCACGATGCTGAAGCAACTTCTGCTCGAGCTTGTTTCACAAGAGTGCTCAGCGAGGGACCGGAGGACATTTGTCGGGACGAAGCCGTCGTAAACGGCGTAGTCGAAGCGAGCCCTTGCACTGATGTGTGAAGCGCCCCTAAGGATAAGCCAGAAAATGTGACGCACTTCCGCTGGAAAGATTCTTCGTCGACAGCCGACGCTGGTGCCCACCCAGTCTAAGGTGTGTTCGGGATCTCCGCTATGTCCAAGGAGACAACGCCACGAAGCTCTGCAATCCAGTTTCTGTGATCATAAGCCCCGAGCAACCTGCTTCGAAAAGACAAGGCGTGCCGTCTCCGAGGTGCTTCGCGTGACGGCCAAGAGGTCGGTCTGGATGGGATGCTGCAGCATCTTGCTAGCACCGCACGTCAATCGCGGCTCCCGTGCAGGCGAGGGGGCGGAGTGGCTCGTGCACGAGTTGATGGCACGCAGGCGGAGCGCCTCAAACCACGCAAGCATCGGATTTGCCATCGTCACTGTGTGCGATTTGGCTGGCGCCTGGAACAACGTACTCTCCCGTAGCACCCTCATGCTTCGCAGGTCGATTGCAGTTGGCATCAACCGCAAGAAGAATGTCAAACGCAACGGACGGGTAAGCGGACAGCTGGCATTCACCATTTAGGAATAATGAAGACACTCGCCCGTCCCGTCCGCTGTGTCGTCCTTCGCCTCCCCCTTGTCTTCCTCCCCTTCTCTCTCCAGTCTGCGGCGAACCCAGAGGTGAAGTGAGAAGGGGCGGGCCTTCTCAGAAGGTTCAGAAGTCCTTGGGCCTTCTGAGAATGCCTTCTCACTTCTCCCCCTTGCTAGCCGCCAGACCCTCCTGTGTAGAACTTCTTCGCCTCGACGGGGGTCTTGGAAGGAGCCTCTGCTCTCTCACCTCTGAGGTGTCTCTGAGCCCACGGCACGCAGTCGATCGTTAATCTCTCGATCGGTCGTCGTTCTGTACATCGGATCGATCGGTGATCCGTCGACGCGCGAGTCGATGCACGATTTAGCCGTCGACTTGTCGATATCGATCGGGGTCGGTGCTGTCGATGCACCGCTCGCTCTGGCCCCGTGCTCTTGAGACAGATCGGGCAGGCGGTTCCTTTGGTGACCTTCAGCTCAACCCGCCACCGCTCAAGGCCTGTGGATGCCAGAAGCTTCTGGTCGCAACCGGCGAGATCGGTTGCTGCTGGTTCTGCTGCAGATTCAGGTATCGGTCGCGACCGAGTTGCCTCAAGATCGGTCGTGACCAATTTAGGAATGGGCCGCGATCGGTCGCGACTATTATTTCGAGTGCCGATCGGTCGGTACTGCTCACAACCGGAAACTCTCGCATCCAACGATCTGGGGCGCCTGGGTTGTAGGCCAGAGGCCTCGGCGCCGCCTTCGCGGGGCGCCGCCACCGCAGGCTCCAGGCAGGCTGTGCTGTACGGCGAGGGGCTGAGAGGAGGGAAGCAAGCAGAAGACGGCGACGACGACGACGACGACGGCGACGACGACGACGACGACGGACTGAGATGAGGAAAGCAGGCAGACGACGACCACGACGACGACGAAGACGAAAACAAAAACGAAGACGAGGACGACGAAGACCGTGCAGGCGGGAGGCCGTGGCCAGGGGCGGCGGGGGGCAGAACAAGGAGGAAATGTGGGGATACACCCGAAGGGGGCTATTCGGACTCACCCCTGTCGAGGATGGACGCCCCACCATCGTATATCCCAGGGTTGGGTCCCAAATGCCTGGCCCTCTCGAAAACCCCACGGAGCCTGAGATAACTTGGGGCCGACGCATCCACCTGTGATGAGGACACCCCAATCAGGGCCTGCGGGCCGAATGCGGCTATCAGAGCCGGGATTCGCTTTTTGTTGAGCAGGCTCGGATCTGGACGCCCGAGATGGGCATGGAAAGAATGGGTACGATGCCCAACAGCTGTTCCTGTTCAGTCTGGACAGGATTCGCTGTCCACGCCGCCGCGGCCTGTGTCCATTCGAGACAGAAGGCCGCCTGCCCAACAGCGGCCGCTGTTGGTTTGGGACAACACTTGTTGTTGGGCATTGTACCCGTTCTTTCGGTACCCATTTCGGGTGTCCAAATTGGAGGAGCCCGGTGCCCCCGAGCGTGGCACGCGTCGCGGGCAGCTGGCCCGCAGGCCGCGTGCCCGCGCCTCGCCTGCCCGGCGGTCGGCCCGCCTGCCTGCCTGCCTGCGCCTGGCTCCCCTGCCCGCCCTGCCGCGCACACCCGCCCGCCCGCCCGCTGGTCCCCCCCTGGGTGGCGCTCGTGCTGGTTCTGGGAGGGCGGGGTCTCGGAGCCTCTGCAGCGGCCCTGCGGGTGGCGCTGCGGGCTGTTTTTTGTTTTCGGGCCTCGCGTCGGGAAACATGGCAAGCCGAATTTCATGATTCAGAGCATGGCCACGACATGCGACGTTGTGACGAAAACCGGTTTGAATAAAACACAGACCGAGATAGTGCAAGCCGATGCGCCCCCGCCAATCTTGGCCTGCTCGCCCGCCCGCGCACACTGCTATGGGTTCGTCCTGCCCTGCCTGTGTGGCTCACCCGCCCGCCCGTGTTTGCAGCAGTCGCCAGCCACGGCCGGGCGTCTGGCCAGCCTTCAAGCGAGGAAACACCGTCTCGACCCCCATAGGTGACGTTTATAGGGGGCCACATGCGAACCCTACCCCTACCCCCACGATTTCTGAGGGGGAGGGTGGGGTTCACTTCGCTCGGGAGCTCCACCTTCCCCTTCAGAAATCGTGGGGGGTAGGGGTAGGGTTCGCATGTGCCCCCCTAGTTTACTAGACAGCCCCGGGCGCTCACTAAGCTTATAGGCAGCCCCGTCCTGTCCGATTCCTGCATGAGCGCGTTCACTGAATGGATCCGGTCGTCGGGGTGCCTCCCCGGTAGGAGTGTGGTGCTTCTGCCCTGTAAGCCTGCACCAGAACCGCGCCCCGTGGCCTCGGGGATTGGCATCGGTGGGTCGCCTCCTCGTGCAGGAAGCGGTGCCAGGATTGAGGGGTCCACCCATGAGGTTTTCGAACGGCTCGTGCTCGCTCGTTGGTGGCTGCCCGTCCGCTCCTCACCCTCCTCCCCCGCACCGCTTTGGGGCTTCCTGCAGGTGGATCGGATGATGAACGCTACGGCGTCTGGTCTGTCTGGCGCCAAACGCCTGGACTGGAAGGCCGCGTCCGCCGTGCCCAGGTCAGGACAGGCCCACTGGTGGAGCTGGTCAGATGGAGAAAGACCCATCGTCCTGAAACCAGATGACAACTCGCACGCCTCCGATAAGTCTCCAGTTATCCCCGTCGATGAGAGGGTGGCGGTCTTCGCTCGGGACCTTACGGCCCCTACGTTCGCAATGTTCGTGTTGTGCGTCATGGTTGCCACGTGGGCGAGCTCCAATCGATGTTTGCAGTTCTTCCCGGAGAGCGGGACACTGATCCTTGTGGCGACGATTGCGGGAGTGGTCGGACGTTATGTGGGGACCTATAGAGATTCTCTAGACGATTACTCGACCGACTTCGCGGTTGCGTACGCCCTGAATTTGGGGCTCATGCCGATTATCATGTTTAATTGTGGGTGGCAGGTGGACAGGGCGCATTTCATGTCGGAGTTCGAGCACATTCTCAACTTCGCAGTGATCGGCACAATCCTGAACACCATGCTGATCGCCTCAGGGAGCTGGCTGGCGGGATATTACGGCCTTCACGCCATCACATCCGTGCGCGCCAACCTCGCGTTCGCTTGCCTGATCTCGTCGGTACCTCCTCCTCGTCCTTCCTTTCGTCCTCCTCCTCCTCCTCCTCCTCCTCCTCCTCCTCCTCCTCCTCCTCCCTCTCCTCCTGAACTGTCGGTGGACCCCGTGGCCACGATGGCCGCCTACTGCAAGCTGCGGATCCCAGAGAAGCAGCCCCTGCTGTACACCATGGTCTTCGGGGAGGCCGCCATCAACGACGCCGTGGCCATCACCCTCTTCACCCTTGTCAACTCGAGCGGCAGCACCAGCATAGGCCCCCACCCCTCCTCCCTCCTCCTTCCCCCCCCCCTCCCCCCTCGCGCCTGCCTTCGCCCCGCCCCTCCCTCCTCTGTGCACGCCCCTCCCCATGCCCCCCCCCTCCCCTGCTCGCCCCTCGCCTCCTCCCCTGCTCGCCCCTCCCCTGCTCGCCCCTCGCCCCTCGCCCCCTCCCCCTCCCCTGCTCGCCCCCGCCCTCCTTGCCCTCCCACCGCCCCCCCCCCGCGGCCGCGCGCGCGCCTCCGCCCCGCACGCCGCCAGCGGCGGCGACCGCCGCGCGCCGCGCCCGGGCACCCGCCGCCCCGCCTATAGGGGCCGCACCGGCGCCGGGCCTCTGCGGCCACCACCGCCTCCGCCTCCGGCCGCTGGGAGCCCTCGGGCCCCTCCTCCTCCTCCTCCTCCTCCTCCTCCTCCTCCTCCCTCCTCCCTCCTCCTCCTCCTCCTCCTCCTCCCCCTCCTCCTCCTCTTCTTCCTCCTCCTCCTCCTCCTCGTCCTCCTCCACGCTCCTCCTCCTCCTCCTCTCCTCCTCCTCCTCCTCCTCCCTCCTCCTCCTCCTCCTCCTCCTCCTCCTCCTCCTCCTCCTCCTCCTCCTCCTCCTCCTCCCCCCCCTTCCCTCCCGCCCCATCCCCGTCCCCTGCAGGAGGCGCATCAGGTTCAGAGGCGTGCCTGCCAGCGGTTGCCCCACCTCAGTCTTCGTGCTCCACGACGGCCGCCCGGGGGGCTCTCGCAGAGGCCCCATGGGCGCACCGGAGAGGCTCGAGCCTCGACGGCGAGCGCGCCCCCCGATTTCTGGAGGCGAGCTTTCTTATCGAATATGCCTGCTGTGATAAGGGCCCCTCGAGGGCGCGAAGTTATTCGCGCCTCGCGCTTCGCGGTTCGGCTCCGATTCCTACTCATCCTTCTTTGCTCTTCCCTGCGCGAAGGGATTCGCGCTTCGCGCAGCGCGGAGCGCGAAGCTAGGCTCTCGCGGCGCGGGCGACCGCCAGCTGGCCCCCCCCCCGTCCCTTCCCTCCGAGGCCCCAGCCCGCCGATCGGCCGCGGTCTCTCCCCGCAAGGCGCCGGCATCTCTGGCGCTCTGGGCCTCTCCCCCCTGGGATCAGGTCGGGCACGCCTTCCCACAGGCGAAGCTTGGACGAAGCCCTACACACAGTACAAGAATGGGCGGAACATGCAACATAGCACAAACATGTGCAAGATTGGCCAGGCATGGTCGACAAACCGTCCTGCCCCGAGCCTCCCCCGAGGAGACCCCGGAGGCCGCAGGCGGCGGGCGTCTCCGGAGGCCGACGGCGGCAGAGGTCCTCCCCGCGCCGTGGGCTTTCCAGAGGCACCGCGGAGCGGGGCCTCCCTGCCCTGCCCTGGCCTCCCAGGGGGGGGGCCCCTGGAGGCCGGCGGTGGCCGAGCGCCTCCCGCCGTGGTCGTCCGTGGACGTGCCGGCGGCGATGGAGGCAGCGGCGAGGTGGGTGTCGGTATTGTGTGTGGGGGGTCGGTGCGTGGCCAAGCAGCCTGCAGGGAAGCGCGGTTCGCCGTTTCCCACAGCTCGCCGTGGCGTTGTGGCTCGATGCATCCTCGCTTGCTCGAGGTTTCGGAGCGTGTGGTTCGTGGTGTCCGGCAGCAGCTTGTTCTGCGCAAGTTGGGTGTCGCGAAGACCAGACTCCCAGCATCACCGCTACGGTCAACCCGCACCGTAAAGATGAACCACTTCCCAAGGTGACCCATGCATCCCCCCCCCCTTCGGCCCATCCCTGGCCGCTTCCGCTGGCCGCGCCCCGCTCGCGAAGTGTCGGCATGGCCCTCGCTGGCCCTCCCTGGCCCCTGCACCCTGAGCGCGCGCCCTCCTTGCACGGCTTGACTGCAGCGTGGCCGTGGGTTCTGCCGACGCCGAGGGGCGAGAGCCCTCCCTCCCCTTGCCTCGGCCTCTCGGGGCCTCCGCCCGCCGGGCGCCTTCCGCGCCTCCCCCCCCCCCCGCGTCTCCTCCGCGCGCGCGAGCCGCGTGGCGCGGGCGGCACCTCCTGCAGCCAGGAGGTAGGACGTTCGGGTCGGCGCAGGGCGTGGGCGTGGGCGCTCGGGTCGTTCGGGTGGGGGCGTGGGCGTGGGCGTTCGGGTCGGACGAGCAGGGGGGGATCTGGGGGACAGGGAAAGGGGGGGGGCCACGCAATCTGCTACATGCAGCTGGTTTCGGCCCCACTGCCAGGCGCTGTCCTCGACATCTTGGCGCCTCCAGCGCCGGGAGGCGCTGGGGAACTCAGCTATGCTAGCTGATTCGCCAAGCCCGTCTTTTCTATCCCCCCCTTTCGTGCGACCCGAGACTCGGCCACGCGCAGAGGGGGGACGGCTTCTTAGAAGCACCCCTGCTTCCTAGCAGGCGCGGGCCATGTCTGCAGATGTAGGATTGAGGCCTTCTAAGACAGCAGCCTCCCTCTAAGAAGCCTTCCCCCCTCCCTCGACTCTGGCGTCGTGAAAACAAAACACGGCGGAAGGTCGCGGGCTGTTCTCCAGCCTCTGATGGGCCATCACACCGGACCTCGGGACCGACAAACAGGTAGGTTGGATGAGAAACGAGCTCTGGGAAGGGGCCTAGACTTGGGAGGCCATGTTATGAGAAAGTCGCGACGTAGGGAGAGGGGGATATGAGGACTATCTCGGGGCTCAGGAGGGGCTCTTGTTTGGAGGCAGTTCCTTCGATCCAGGTCGTGGAGCCCATGCGTGGCCGAGGTACGCCGTGGGCAGACAAACCCATTCGGCGTTCACGGTAAATTTGCTCAGTTCGCGCAGTGCGCAGAGGCGAGGAGATCGCCATCTGCCTCTTCGGGTCCATCCTCTGCGGGGCCGCGCTCGCGTGCCTGGTCGTGTCCCTGATGGGGTACTGCCGCATGCATGGCCGGTCCAGGCCCGCTGGGAGCGCGAAGGTGGAGGTTCCTCTTCCTCCTCCTCCTCCTCCTCCTCCTCCTCCTCCTCCTCCTCCTCTTCCTCGTCCGCTTCCTTCTTTATCTCCTCCTCCTCCTCCTTCTTCTCCTCGTTGGCCTCCTCCTCCTCCTCCTCCTCCTCCTCCTCCTCCTCCTCCTTCTCTTCACACCTCGTGTGCCCGCGCGCGAGAGCATCTTTCGTTCGTCTCCTGCTCTTGGTCGCCTTTTCTTTCTTTCTTTCTCTCGGTCGGAGTCCCTCCTCCCTCTCTTCATCCTTCCTTCTGCGTATAGCGAGCAATTCCACCGAGCCCTTGTTCAGCGCTGGCGGGAGCGGAAAGCAGGACCTCAAGCTTCGTCGCCAGAGGGCCCCAGAACGATCGCCAGCCCCCCCACCTCGGGTCGATGGATGCCGACGATTGGGCGACCCCGACCTAGACAGCGAGGACGACACAGCCCTAGAGGTGTGCAGGGGGCATTTGGGTGTGGCGCAGCGCACACGCATGCTCGAGGGCTGCCTCCTCACCACCCGCATCCTCCTGGCCGGCAACCCCCTGAACGCCGTAGCAGTGGCAGCAGCCAAAGTGCACGCGGAGAGGAGGCAGTCAAGTCTAGCCGTGTTTCGGCTGTTAGGAGAGTTCGGCGTCGACGAACTTTTCCAATGCGCACAGCATAGCATAACCCGTCGCCCCTCATGGTGAGGATGGCAGTGCTCAAGGCAATGTCGGACACCCCTCAGCTCCAGTATCCCCCGCCAATGCGCGAAGAGATGACCGTGCTTCAAGCTTTCGTGCAACGTCTAGACAACGAAGAGATGGTCGCTGCGAGCGAGTATCTCCGCTACTGGAGGACCCAGAGCACTCACCAGCAGGAGGGTCAGGACCCCAAGGTGCGCCACGCTTTTCTCGACAACGCCCACTGCACAGAGGGAGGTTCAGCATCCGAATGAGTATAGTATCAAATGCTTGATGAAGCTAAGGCAGCGAACCCACAGCAGGAGCACCCCCAGAAGCACTCAGGAGCGTAGGATTCGGAACAGCCCATCGAAGATGCCCCGCCGCAGCCACAAGCACCGCAAGAGTTAGGCCATGGGAGGCCACGCGCGAGCATAACCGAGCACGAACGAGTGAAATACGTTGGCGGCTGTAGCCTTCTAGTGCCGTTGAGCAGTGAGCGTGCAAGTGGGAGTGGGGGACGTGGCAATGGGAAGGGGAGGCAAGGACGATGAGTCTCCCCCCTGGCCCGCGTGCTCCGGGAGGCATTTCCTGGCGCACGGGCCTATCCCGTATTTCACATCCCATACACTGTATATGCATGTCTTGTGTGCGGGGTAGTTGGGTGCCACGCTTTTAGAGCTACCTGCTTGCATTTCGCTTGTTATGTTGCGCGTGGGGCACCTTGTTACTGCGCCCTCGCCAATGTTGCTCATGCGACGTTACTGAGTTTCGCTGGGAGGGACGTATCAAGCCTCTTCCGCGCCAAATCTCGATGGTGCACCGAAGTCACGATGTGATGTGCCACTGGCGCTGTCGCCAAGTTGTAGATGGCCGATCGTGATGTTTTGCAACTTGGGCATTTGAAGGAGCCCCGTCGCCAGTATTTAGCTCGCGGAAACAAAAAAACAATTTGGCCGTAAGTACTTTTCCGCACCATGCTGCTGCTGCTCCTCCTTTCTCCTTGTTTGTCCTCCTGCCGCACTTGCGGGCAGTAAGCCGTGGCGTTTTCGTCGCGTGTTGCCGCCCTGGCGGCCCCACTCTTGCCCGCATCGTCATCTGCAGTGGTCCGCTCCCTTCTCCCCCAAGGAGCGAATCCGCATTGCGCTGCTGCTGTGCTCCGCTCTGGTCCCTCCCGTCGCCCCCCGTCGTCTCCCGTCGCCTCCCGCTGCATCTGTCCCCCCCTGTCGTCCAGCCGTCCTTCGTGCCCCGTCGCTCCCGTCCGCCCCCTGCCGCCCTCTGCACGCGGAGGCCGGGATCGTGCAACGGTGGTGTCTCGTCGGAACTCCTCCGTCCGCCGCCCCCCTCCCCCTCGAGTTGTCCCTGCTCTTAGGTGTTCGCTTCGGGGACCTCCCTGGGGGCCACCCAACGGATCTGTTTGACGCTGGTTCGATTTCGGTTCGACTGAAAATTCGACCCTAGTTCGACTCGAGCTCGACTCAAGCTCGACTCGAGTTCGACTCAAGTCCGACTCAAGATCGACCCAGGTCGACGGACGTTCGACGCAGCATCGACGCATGAGTGGAGTGAGTGTTTCGACGAAGATCACCAGAACGATCATCGAGTTGCTCCCTGACCACCTCGGACTACAACACAATCACAACGGGAGGTTTTGGACGATGTTCAGGCTCTGGGGGCCCTCGCTGGGCCCCCCGACCGTCAATCAATCATTCGGGGTGAAAAACCAGTCCTGGGGAATGGTTCGACACCTCCTAGGGTCCACGTCATGTAACCCTGCCGCTGAGGCCTTTGGTGGGGCCTCCTTTGGGGGCACGAAACGTGTGACGGGTGTACCAAATCGGGTGCCGGACGGCCATGCGGACCCTGCCGCTGAGGCCTTCCGTGGAGTTTCTGATGGGGCCACGAAACGTGTGACTGGTGTGCCATATCGGGTGCAGGGCGGCCATACGGACTTTGCCGTTGAGGCCCTCGGTGGGGCTCCCTATGCGGCCACGAAGCGTGTGAGGAGGTGTACCGAAATGAGTGCGGGGACGCCATGCGGACCCTGCCGCTGGGGCCTTCAGTGGAGCTCATTATGGGGCCACGAAACGTGTGATGTGGTGCGCCGAAATTGGCGCAGGGCCCCCATTCGGACCCTGCCGCTGAGGCCTCGATGGGGCTCCTGTTTGGGCCACGAAGCGTGTGATGGGGTGTGCCGACATGGATGCGGGGCCGCCATGCGGACCCTTCCGCTGGGGCCTTCGGTGGAGCTCCCGATGGGGCAACGAAACGTGTAACGGGTTTGCCATATCGGGTGCAGGGCGGCCATACGGACCTTGCCGTTGAGGCCTTCGGTGGGGCTCCCTATGCGGCCACGAAGCGTGTGAGGAGGTGTACCGAAATGAGTGCGGGGCCGCCATGCGGACCCTGCCGCTGCGGCCTTCGGTGGGGCTCCGTCTGGAGCCATGAAGCGTAGGGGGGGGTACCAAAATGGGTCACGGGGATGAGAGGAGGGGGGAGGAGGAGGAGCGGGGGAACGCGGGGCGCTGTCTCTTCAAAACGAGGACCGGACACCGCAGGATGGTTGCGAAACATTCAGACGTCGGGTGTGTGTGTGTGTGCTTGTCCCCCGGGCTGCACCACAGTCAAGCGCGCCGCCCCTTTTCAACTCTTTGTTTTGAGTGGGCAGCGAGTGCTGGAGTCACCCTGCAGTGCTGTTTTATTGGTTGGCCCGACCCATCACATATCCAGTGGAGTCCTCACTGCTGGGTTTGAGCTTTGGTCGGGCACTTAGGTTCGTTAGTATGGCAACGCCAAGCCTATGGAAGCTCCTAGCTCGGCCAGCGGTCGCCAGTTGGTTCGAAGATCTTTCAGAGACCATGAGCTGTTCCGCCGCCACCTCCTCCTGTTCCTCCTCCCCTCCCTCCTCCCCCATGCTCCTCCTCCCCTTCCTCCCCCATGCTCCCCCTCCTCCTGTTCCTCCTCCCCCATGCTCCCGCCACCTCCTCCTGTTCCTCCTGCTCCTCCTCCCCTTCCTCCTCCCCTCCTCCTCCTCCTCCCCTCCCCTCCCTCCTCCCCTCCCTTCCTCCCCTCCCTCCCCCTCCCCTCCTGCGTGGCCGGGCCAGGCTACTGACGCTGGCCACTCTCGGCAGCGCGTGGCTGATCTTCGCCATGGCGGAGTCCATGGATCTGTCCGGCATCATTGCGAACCTGTTCGCGGGCATCGTCTTCAGGTCGTCCCGATGACGGGTCCTGAGAGAGAAACGGGTCCGAAGGTCTTCTGCAGTTTTCGCGCTCCTGGGGCCCTCCACGGGTCCCGGGGCTGTCAGAAAACGGCTCAGGAGGAAGAGCTGGTCCCGGGAGAGGGCCCCCAGGCCCCAGGGCCCAGGGCCGCTTCCCACAGGACCCGCTTCCTTCCTGCTCATCAGGCGGTTCGGCGGGTGCCTCTTCACCGAGCGCGGCGAGCACGGGGCCACCGAGACGTTAGAGTTCTGCGGCGGCCTGTCGGAGAGCCTCGTGTTCATGTTGGTGGGCTGGGATGCAGCTCCTGGGAGGTGCACGGACACAGCACCTGCGCTGGTTTATCCGTGACCGAAAACTGGCCCATCTGAGCGATTCCCGCTTCAACCCGCTTAGTGTGGCAGTTCTGCGGCAAATGTGGGCAGATCTGGCCCGATGGGCCATCAAGCGGGTTTCCAAGACCCCCGGTCTGTCCCGCGGCAATGAGCCCTTGTAACAAATTGAGGTGGACATGGCCGTGCTCTCACCCTTGTCCCGCGGCCGCGATCTTCTGTTTCATGATGTATATCCATGTATATACACACGCATATATATATATATATATATGTTTATATATACACATTCAGGTGCCGTTTTCCTAAACAGTGTTTGCACATTGGGATGCTCATGTTCTCTTCTAGGGAACTGGGCCTGGCGGAATTAGTTGTCCAGGCGAAGGACCCAAACATATGCGGGGGGCGAGTGCCGCATGGCAGGTGGGACGAAGGAGGGGCAGGTCCGCTATGGGGAAGCGAAGCGTGTGAGGGGTGTGCCGAAATTGGTGCGGGGCCGCTATGCGGATCCTGCCGCTGAGGCCTCCAGTGGAGCTCCGCTATGGGGCCACGAAACGTGTGATGGGGTGCGCCGAATTGGCTCAGGGCCCCCATTCGGACCCTGCCGCTGAGGCCCTCGATGGGGCTCCTGTTGAGGCCACGAAGCGTGTGATGGGGTGTGCCGACATGGATGCGGGGCCGCCATGCGGACCCTGCCGCTGGGGCCTCTGGTGGTGCCGAAATTGGCTCGGGGCCGCCATGCGGACCCTGCCGCTGAGGCCCTTGGTGGGGCTCCTCTTGGGGCCACGAAACGTGTGAGGGGTGTGCCGACATGGGTGCGAGGCCGCCATGCGGACTCTGCGGCTGGGCCCCCGGTGGAGCTTCCTGCGGGGGCACGAAACGTGGGAAGGTGTGCAGAATCGGGTGCGGGGCCGCCATGCGGACCTTGCCGTTGAAGTCTTCCGTGGACTTCCTTGTGCCGAAATTGGGCGGGGCCGCCATGCGGACCTTGCCGCTGCGGCCTCCAGTGGAGCTCGCTGTGGGGCCACGAAGCGTGTGAGGGATGTGCCGAAATCTGTGTGGGGCCGCCATTCGGACCCTGCCGCCTGGGCCTTCGGTGGAGCTCCTTATAGGGTCAGGGAACTGTGAGGGATGTGCCGAATCGGATGCGGGGCCGCCATTCGGACCCTGCCGCTGGGGCCTTCGGTGGAGCTCCATTGGGGCCACGAAGCGTGCGAGAGGTGTGCTGAATCTGGTGCGGGCCCGCCATGCGGACCCTGCCGCTATTTCCTTCGGTGGAGCGTCCTATGCGGCCACGAAACGTGTGAGTATGGTGTGACGAAGTCGGGCACGGGGACGGGAGGAGGGTGGGGGGATGAGGAGCGGGAATGCGGGGCGATGTCTTTTCAAAACGAGGACCCAAGATCACTGGATGGTTCGGGGCAAAAGCATAGGCATGCGCCTTTCCCCCAATCAGTGCTTGCACGTACAGGTTGCAATTTCTCTTCTAAGGAATTGGGCCTGGCTGGCGGTCAGGCGGTTCCGTGCTCGCCTTCGCCGCCCTGTCGCCACCTTGACGCCATCCGTCGTTTGGGCCTGGCTGGCGGTCTGGCGGTTCCGTGCTCGCCGTCGCCGCCCCGTGGCTGCCGTGTCGCCGCCAGTCGTCAGGGCCTGGCTGGCGGTCTGGCGGCTACGTGCTCGCCGTCCCCGCCCCGTCGCCGCCTCGTCGTCGCACCACATAGAACGTCCATCTACACGGAATATAGACTCTGTCCCCCTCCCCGCCCCCCAGGGTTTCTCTTTCCCCCGTGGGGTAGCACAATTTAGCGTCATTATGCCCCGTCGCTCATTTTGAAAATGAACTCGCACTCTGCCCGGGACTGCCGTCAACGACCCCCTTCCTTCATCCTCGTCAAACGACGCCATGCGCACACCCCCGCTGATCAACAGTCTTACATCTGCACACGTATGACCCAGGAGCCACTGGCAGCATGAAGCCAAGTCTACACGCGCGCGGGGAGGCGCGCGCACGCCAGAATCCTTCGCACGCTGCAGGCTGCGTGCGGATGGCAAGATCGAGGCTGCCAGCACCTCTGAAGCAGAACAGCGTTTTGGTAACACGACTTGTCAGAGTCTCCGCGCGCGGGCTCCTTGTGAGCTGTTGTTAAAGAAACAACGTTTTACAAATAGGTATCGCCAACTGCGGCCACGCGGTTGTCCCGAGCGCGCATGTCGAGATCGGTCGAAGTCTCCTGCGCGCTTGCTCGGGGGGGCACGATCTCTTTCAGAGAACACCCTGCGGGCCACTCGCGCGCGTGTGCCGCGCGCGAACGTCGAGCTCTTCCCAAAGCCTTCATCACCGACACGTGGACACCACCATTGTCATCGACGTGATCAGCATCGGTGCCGTCATCGGCCTTGCCGTCATCATCGTCATCGTCGTCACCAGCATCGCTACTACCATCATCGTGTCCGCCATGGTCAACGTTACCATGATACCGCGCCTGCCCGATTCACCGACTTGCACTGAAATGCCCGCGTTTCGGTTTGAGTTACCTCTTGCATGCGCTGTGCGTTTTGGGATTATGTAACTGACTGTTCGGGCCACGTGGGTAATCCGCAGAGCGCCCTTGCCCTTTTGTTTCCTCCTCTTCTCCTCCTCCTTCTCCTCCTCATCGAGCGTTCACCCAGGCATTAATTGTCACGGGTCGCTTTTCTGTGTGGTTTTGGGTTGTCTTGGGTGCGCGCAGCCATATCGGACCAGGAGGAAATGAGATCGCGAGACGCGCTGGGAAGACCCCAGCGGTAATCGCCACCGCGGCCGCGTCGGTCGCGCCGGACTAGCTAGCCGCTCTACGTGAGGACGGTTCCTGAGGATTTGAGGGTCGAGTTCCCCGACAACATATGGAAAAAAGCAGGCAAGTGTTGCGCATCTTGATTCTGCATCAAAAAAGGTCTGCGCGCGCTCTTGAGAAATCTTGAGAAACCCAAAGATATGCCAATATGTCCATCAAATTCGACCGAGCGGGCCTCTCTCGCGCGTGTGTCGAAATCATTCGAACGCCCTGGCGCGTGCTTGGGGGCACGGCTCCCGTCAAAGAAAGGGTCAGCCGAGCCCGTCGGCCGCGCGCTCATGTCGAAATCCTTTCCATCATGTTCATGGCCGACATGTGAACACCATCGTTGTCATCGACGTGACCAGCATCGGTGCCCTCGTTAGCCTTGCCGCCGTCATCGTCATCGCCGTCGCCAGCATTGCTGCTATCATCATCGTGTCCGCCGTTGTCAACGTCGCCATGATTCCGCGTCCGCCCGAGCCACCGACTCGAACTGAAGCGCTCGCGCGCCAGCGCGGCTGGCGAGACGCGCTGGTAAGTCCCCGGCGTCAGCGCCACCGCGGCCGCGTCGGTCGCGCCAGACTAGCTGGGAGCTCCGCGCGCGAGCCTGCGCAAGCCAGCGCGGCCGCAGCGATACGCCAACCAACACCAAGCAGTCATCGCAATCGCCGCCGCATAAGCTTTGCAAACCGAGTTCCGGGTGGGCGGGTGAGATGACTGCGACGCTGGTGGAGTTGACAGCTCACAAGTGAGCATTTAGTAACTTCTCCTTCTTGAAAGAATGATGGAATCGACCCCCCCCCCAGAACTAACGGCCCACTTATCATTGCAATGTCCGCGCGATCTTGCCCCACCGTCCGTCCTGATTGCGACTCCATACCATCCCAGGCATGCTGGCATCCCTGGTTCATCCTCCTAGATTCGCGCTCGTTCATCAAAATTCATCAGTTGCCACAGATTCTTTGCAAGAAAATGACGAAGTGCACGGGCGCGCGCGTCGTCGCGCTCGCATGCAAAAGTCTTTTAAAAAATGCAACGAGCTTCGCAAAGCTTACAACGTTGAGGGTTCCGAATCTACATCGCAACACATGGCTCCGCAACAATATTGCTTTAAACCACACAAGAAACTTGCATTCGCGCTTTTGCAGATTCTTAAGACAACCATCGGTTTTTGAACCTTTTTTTCCACCAAAGGCTACTAAACGTAACTGTCGCGCGCGCCCGTCGAACTGGTTCGAACGCCTGCGCCCGTGTTGTCGCAGGAACCCCTTGCAAAAGTGGCGGAGTGCACGCGCGCGCGTCGTCGCGCGCGCATGCGGGAATCTTCCAAAAAACTTCGATTTCGCAGGGATTTCAAAATCGAGAGCCCCGGAAAATATGGAGAAACACATGGTTTTGCAACGTCAGTGTTCTAGAATGGTTGCGCGATCGCGTTCCTGCGATTTTCGTCATGTGGCAGCCATCGCTTTTCCGACACATGTTCACGAATTCTGGCCCAACGGGCCTCATGCGCCGCACGCCGAAATCATTCGGGCGCCCTTGCGCGCGCGCTGGGGTGTGTGTGGGGTGGGTGGGAGGGGGGGGGGGCGCGATCCGCGTCGCGCAATGCCACGCATGTCGAACTCATTCCGGAACCTTCATCACCGATGCGAGGGCGCCGGTATCGTCGCCGGCGCGATCAGCATCGGCGCCGTCACCGGCTTTGCCGTCGTTGTTGTCACCATCGTCACCAGCATCGCCACTACCATCATCGCCTTTTTCTTTGTCGACGTTGCCATGATACTGCGTTCGCCCAAGTCGCCGACTCACACTGAAGTGCCCGCTGGGAAGTGCCCAGCGGCCAGCGCCACCGCGGCTGCGTCGGTCGCGCAAGCCAAGTTGCGGGTGCCCGCGCGTCAGCGCGACCTGCGAGACGCGGTGGGAAGCCCCCAGCGGTCAGCGTCACTGCGGCCGGGTCGGTCGCGCCAAACTAGCTGGCCGCGGACAGGCACCAGCCAGCACCAAGCAGTCATCGCAATCGCCGCCGCATGGGCCTTGCAAACCTAGTTGCGGGTGAATGGGTGGGATGATGGCGCGAGCAGCGAAGTTAACAACTTCAAGCTCCCATAGTTATTCCCCCGCGGGGCTCTTACTTGGGTAA